TAGAGGAGGGCGGGGGGCGGGGGGGGTAAATGGTGATGGAAGGAGACTTGACTTGGGGTGGGGAACACATTATAAGATACAGATGATGTGCGGTAGCATTGTGCACCCCTTTTATTCTCTAAAGAATTCTCCCTCCCCCTGGGTTGTGCATAGATTTCTGGGAGAACTGGGGCATTTGTCCTGTGTCCCCCAGTCGGCATTTAGTTCACTGTTTCTTCACGGTGTGTTGTTCTGTGCCCACAGTCGTGGTAAACTATTGTGTTGACTGAAACTTTTCATTATATTCCGTTTCAGTTTTTAGTTATAGAAACCCCCTCAGTGACACTGGGTTCTCATGCCCGCCCGAGGCGCGTGATGTCAGGCGACACGCTGAGTGAACGGGAAGAGTGGGCCAGTGGTGTGGACTTGCTTTTCTCTGCGGCCCACCTTTCGATGTTTTAATTTTTTATTACAAACCAAATAATAGACAGCATCTTTTAAAAAAAGAATACTCTCTGCTCCCCTCTTGAATCCAGCTTCCCCAGGCAGCCCTCTTCTGCGTGGTTCCCGGTGCTCGTGCCAGCATCCACACGTGTTTTTTTAAAAATGGATTCATATCTATAGGACACTCTGCAATGTGCTTTCGTCACTTCTCCGTATATCAGACATCTCGCAAAGCTGATACTTACAGGAGTCATTTAGTTTTTTGCGGAAATGTACAATGTTCTGTAATGTGGCTACAACATCATAGATTTAGGAGTCCCCAGCTTTCTTATCTGTTTTTTTCCTGCCATTTAAAAAATTGTGGTACACTCCTAGCATAAAACTTGCCATTTTTTAAGTGTACAACAGTGGCATTAAGTACGTTCCCAATGTTGAGCCACCGTCACCACTACCATTTCTAAAACTTGCTCATCCCAAACAGAAACTCGACCCATTTGTGAGTTTGCTTTTCAGAAGGGCAGCTCCTCTGCTCCGAGCCCTGGTTCGGGGCCCCGCCTGCCCCAGGGCCGCGTCTTCCCTCCCTCTCCCTCCCTGCAGGTGTGTCTTCATGCGGCTGGCCACCATCTGTGTGCTGGTGTTCACCCTGGGCTCCAAGATTACATCCTGCGATAACAACTCCTGTGAGCTCTGTGGCTACAACCAGAAACTCTACCCGGTGAGGCTGGGGCATGGAGCATCCTGCTGAGTGGGTCATTTTGGAGTAACAGCCTCAAGGTTGAAAACACAGCCTTGAAGTCATGGGTTTGAATCCCAGTTGACCCGCTTTCTCACTGTGGAGCAGAGTCTGGCACTTCTAAGGGCTTGAAAACCAAAGTTTGTGCCGGAGCTCGGAAGAGCATCCGCTGATAGCCTCCAGAGGCGGCAGGATCTGGGGACAGGATGGGCACTGAGAATCCCGCTTTCTCCGCACTGAGTCAGGTCTCATTGCCTCTCCCTGTCTTCGGTTTCAGTGCTGGGAGACCCAGGTTGGTCAGGAAATGTACAAGCTGATGATATTCGACCTCATCATCATCTTGGCTGTGACACTGTTTGTGGATTTTCCTAGAAAGTAAGTGGGAGGTGTACCCTCCTAGTCTCCCCCACTCCTCCCACCCCTGCCCCAACCGGAAGATCCTCTCAGAGATGCTCTCCGTAAAGCGCTAAATAACTGCACAGTCCCTGGAAACCAGTGACAACCACCCGGTGACTTTCAGACAGCTCCAGGCCATCAGCCCCATAGTCCATTAGGTGCCCCCCAAAGGCAGTGTGAGGAGTGGAAATGGCACTGCTTTCCATGAGATGTCCGTAGGGATGGCTTCCTGCCGTGAGCACAGCCACAGGCCCTGTCAGGGAGGGCCCTCCAGGCCTCAGTGGACACCCCGTTTTCTGATCTGGGTTCAAGCCCCAGCGCTTGCTAGTCATGTGACCTTGGGCAGGTAATTGAAGGTCTGTGCTTATTTTCCACCTGTGAAGTGGGGGCAGTAGCAGTACCCGCCTCACCGCACCATTGTGAGGATTAAATGAGAAAATGCAAATAAAAGTACTAAAGAACTCACCGAAACATTATCGCCGTTATGATTATCATTACTATGCTGGCATTTTAAAAATTATTCTGAGCATCTCCTTGAACCTTAAGTGAAACACTGCTCACTTAATGACTTTTTTACCCAGATGTACAAATTCTGTGAGCATGTCCTTTAAAAAATTATTCAACTATGACATGAATATGTGCTCATTGAAAATTTTAGAATATTTAGAATTTAAATAAATACAGAAGTCTGGAGAATAGTGAGAATTCATGTTTGTTACCATACCCCTAACTTCCCAATCCTACCCCACTCCCCAGATGGTCATTGCCAGTACTTTGGGGAAAATCCAGCAGTTTTTAAAAACAAAAATTCTTATTTGCATAAATACATGTGTAAATAGGCACAGTCTTGCTAAAGTGTTCATTTCCCCCTTAAATGGGATCATGGTACATCTGTATTGGTCTGCAGCTTGATTTTCTTTCATACAAACAAATATCATGAACTTTCTATGGGAAGACATACGGATTTTCCTCACTTATTTGAAGGACTGTGTAATATTCCACTGTATCCGTGGCTTATAGTTTGTCCACCCAGCCCCTACTTATGGACATTCAGGTTGTTCCCAGTAGTTTTGCTAATACATGGCAATGCTGTGGTGGACGATGGTATGTGTTTATCTCAGGCCCTGGTCCTAGGGTGTCTGTACGAAGCTTCGGGATTCCAGCGTGCTAGGTGGTAGGGTCCTCATAAGTCATTTTCTGCATGGATGCACATGACTTTGTGGGTTGAGGGGCAAGCCAGAGCACAGATACTGCCCATGTTGTTTCTTGANTGGATGCACATGACTTTGTGGGTTGAGGGGCAAGCCAGAGCACAGATACTGCCCATGTTGTTTTTTTGTCACCCCAACCTTGTGAACCAAATTGTGGTATCATCCCCCCATATTCCAGATGAGAAAAATGAGCCTTGTCTAAATTTATTTGGCTGATCAGTTGTAGATCTGAGACTCAGACCCCGTTCTTAATGATTCCAGAATTCACTGTCTTTTGCATCTTCTAGACTTGTGACTACCCAGTTTCCATGAGAGATCTGTGTGAAAACGGCCCTGATTTTGTGGACATGGTTCTGTGGCCTTGGCAGATGCTGGTGGTCCAAGTGAGAAATTGTCCCATTTGCTTCTAGGCTCCTGGTGACCTACTGTTCCTCTTGGAAGCTGATACAGCTCTGGGGGCAGCAGGAATTTGCCATTCCTGATAATGTTCTGGGGATCGTTTATGGGCAAACCATTTGCTGGATCGGAGCCTTTTTCTCACCCCTTCTCCCTGCCATTGCAACCGTGAAATTCATCATCATCTTCTATGTGAAAGAGGTAAGGAGAGAGGGGATGGGGGGCTCATACCCAGCACCGCTCTGGACCGTGTGCGGCATTCGGCACACATTTGGAGCTCACCCGCATTCTGTCAGACATACATCCCTTATTTGATATATATACTTCTATTTTGGAAAAAAGATTTTCACATTTTTATAACTTTGAGAATTTTGTTAAGCATTGTTTTGCTCCTGTGATTTAAATGTTGTTTTTATATGTAACTGTCTAATAGTTGAGTTGCAATTGATCAGTTGACAGTGGTACATTTCGGTAACGTTTAATGTAATGGTTATTAATTTAAGTTTTGTAATTTTCTGTTTGGATTTTGGAGCCAGTGAATTTATGTTCAGGTCTCAATTATTTGTGTAGGTCCTTGAACAGCTCCGAGGCCCTAGGCATTGTGCCTGAAATAAGTGCTTAATGGGTAGAGTGGCCTGCAGATGACTAACCTACCTGGACTTATTAACCAAACGTCTCTTTCTTTATTATAGAGGCAATGTATGCTCAATATTAAACATTTAAACAATACAGATATTCATATAGTAACTTTCATCCCTTCTTCCAGGGGTACCATTTAAAAGTCCAACATTTATTGATTACCTCTTATGCCAAGGCCTGAGGATTCAGAAATGGAAATAATAACAGGTTTAATAATAATGACAATAATAAGAGCAGATGATGGTAATACCATGTGCCCCACTCTNTGGAAATAATAACAGGTTTAATAATAATGACAATAATAAGAGCAGATGATAGTAATACCATGTGCCCCCTCTGCTGAACACTTAGGAAGCTGAAGTTCAGAGAGGTCAAGTAACTGGTCCAAGGTCACACAGCTTATAAGTGACTTCAGGGATTTGATTCCAGGTTTATCTCACTCCAGAGCCACTTAACCTGGNCCCCCGCTGAACACTTAGGAAGCTGAAGTTCAGAGAGGTCAAGTAACTGGTCCAAGGTCACACAGCTTATAAGTGACTTCAGGGATATGATTCCAGGTTTATCTTACTCCAGAGCCACTTAACCTGATAAGCAGGGCCTTGAATTGGGCCAGACTTTCTACCTGGATGTTTTGGCCTTTGAAGAATGTTCTGATGCTTTCATTTGGAAACTTTAATTAGCTGAAGTCACCAAAGGAGAAATGGAGAAGAAAAAGTTCATAGGAACTTTTTCCCTTTCCCAAAAATATTGGTTGGCCAGTGGCTTCCCAGCGTGCAGCACAGTAAAAACAGTGTGGGGGTAATGGGCTGGGTCAGGGCCGCTGGGCTAACTTCTTTTTTTTTTTAAAATATATCTTTATTGATTTCAGAGAGAGGAAGGGAGAGGAAGAGAGAGAGAGAGAGAAAGAGAAACATCAATGATGAGAGTCATTGATCAGCTGCAACCTGCAACCCGGGCATGTGCCCTGACCGGGAATCGAACCCTGATCGCCTGGATCCTAGGTCGACACTTTAAGCACTGAGCCACGCCCGANACTGGGAATCGAACCCTGATCACCTGGATCCTAGGTCGACACTTTAACCACTGAGCCACGCCCGGCTGGGCTGGGCTAACTTCTGACACTCACTCCAGGCCTGATTGACTGGCTGCATCCAGACAGTACACCAAGTGTCCTCTGCGCACAAGATGTTCTGGCTACTGCTGAAGTCAGAAGAGCTTGATGCCTACTCCCAGTAATGATAGCATTTAAAAATATTAAGGGGAAATATTATGCTGTTACTACCTCTCTTCCCCTCCTTACTTGATTTGATATTTCCTTCAAGTCTTCTTTCCCTCGATGGAAATATTTATTTTTAAATATAGGAAAAATAAATATTCTTATAAAAATGCAAGCAAAATATCTCTTAAGTTTTTATAGAGCATTATAGATCCATTTATTTTATTTTTTTATTTATTGATTTTAGAGAGGAAGAGAGAACGGAGAGAGGGAGGGAGAGAGCGAGCACTTTGCTGTTCCACTTATTTATGGATTCACTGGTGGATTCTTGTATGTGCCCTGACCGAGGATCAAACCTGATGATGCTCTAACCAACTGAGTTACCTGGACAGGGCTGTAGAGCCATTTAATATATATTTAAGCCCCTATAAAGAATACTTTTTTTAAAAACTTAAAAGAGATCATAGCAGACAGAGTGCTGAACTCTACCCGTTTCATTTCACAGTGCCATGTGGGATGTAAAGCTGGCTTTCTTGTCCTTTCTGGGGACTACATGGTATTCCACTGTGTGGGTGACATTTTTTAACCTTTAAGGACACCCCCCCCCCATAGCTATTTCGGTTCCTTCCAGTTCAGTTATTCCCTGATACCAACAACCGTAGCAGTAAATATCCACAGACATGCATGTTGGCCCAATACTGGGGTCTGGATTAAACATTTTTCATTTTGATCTCTACTGCTGACTGCCCTCTAAAAGGTTAGACCAATTTACAGTCCCACTGTGATGCTCGAATGTGCTCATTTATCCTCAAGGAAGCAGTACTTCTAACTTTTCCTCTCTCTTTCTCTCCCCTTAGATGAGTCTCCTTCATACCTGCAGACCCTCCCCGAGGCAGTTCAGAGCATCCAATTCTAATTTCTTCTTCCTGCTGGTGCTGTTGATCGGCCTGTGTTTGGCAGTGATACCGCTGACGATCAGCATGGCTCAGTAAGTACCGCTTGGTTTTCTAAAACATTTCCCTGCTTCTTGACCTGGTCCTCTTGTTACAAGACCCGCTGCGTTTTCTGTTGGGCTTTCCTAAGTGTGCGACCCACAGAGCTCAGGTCAGAAAGTCGCTGTTGGCTTAGCCAGGCCCACCCTTGTTTTGGAAGCTCCTTCTGGTTGCTGGAATGTTTGGTCCACTTTCAGTACTTGGGCTTGCTGGGTGGCCATTACTTTTGAGAGTGCCAGCTGGGCCTGTCCTATCCAGCTCCCTTTTCCTGAGACTTCTCTTCTTGTGCCCCTTTCAACTGTTTCTGATTATGGAAATAATACATGGTCATTGTAGAAAACTTGGAGTAGAGGGGGAAAAACAGAAAGAAGCAGGAAGTCACCTAATTTCCTGCCACTTTGGTTGAGGGTTTGCACTTAGCAGACATTTATTTAACGCCCTCTCTGTGCCAAGCACTGTGCTAGATGCTAGGGATATAAAAACGTTTAACATAAGACATACGAATGTAGAGTCTGTTGTGGAATTTGGAAAGAACAGAAATGCCCAGGACTAAGGATCAGAAATTGAGCTTTCAAGCCCCAGTGATGCCATTCCTGAGGAGTGTAATTATTTATACTAGAAGCCAGCAAACTTTTTCTGTAAAGGGCAGGAAAGTAAATAATTTAGGCTTTGTGGGTGATATAGTCTCTATAAGCTGCCATAGACAATGTATACACTAATGAACATGACTGTGCTCCAATAAAACTTTATTTCTAAAAAAACAGGTGGTGGGCCAGATTTGGCCCATGGGCTTGTAGTTTGCCAACCCCTGACTTACACGCTCATGGAATTTCAATTCTTCACCTTTAAATTAAAATCCTTAAATTTGGGATCTGTTTCTCACATCTTATTTGTTTAACTAACTTGTATATATATATTGTTTTATTGTTATAGTAGTGTATATATTACATATATAAAATTCAAATAGTACAGAAGAGTATAAATTAAAGAGAAAAAAATTACTCCTTATGTTTACCTCTTAGTCCCACTCTGCAAAGGTAACCACTATGAATACTTGTAGAAGTTCATTATTAACAATGTATTTATTTTAAAAAAATACATATGGAATAATGCCATAATCCTGTTTGGCAGCTTATTTTTCCCCCTTAACTTTATATTGTGCCATTGTCCATGCCAGCAAATGTAGAACTCTCTTTTAAAATGTTTTTTAGCTTTGATTTTTAAAATATAATAAATATATTCACATGGCACAAAATTCATAAAGTATACAAGAGTATATGGTGGAAATTCATTTTCCAATCCTATTCCCAACTACATACTTAGCTTCTCTCTAGAAGACAGTCATATGTATGTCTCTTTCTCCATGGTTCTTCAGCATTCCATTATATGAATGGATCCTAAATTGTTCATCCATTTCCTTAAACAACACGTAGGTTGTTTTCAGAAATTTGTTTTTATCCGTAAAAATGGGGTTGCAATGGAAAACCTTCTACAACAAACTTTGTGATGTGAATGTAGGCAGTTCTTTGCAGAGCTTTATTTAATTTTTTTTCCATCATAGTTTTATTTTCCCCCTATTTTGTACTTTGAAAAATTTAAAATCTATGGCAAAGTTGAAGAAATAGCCACGATGAAAACTCCTATACCCTTCAACTGGATGACCCAATTGTCGACATTTTGCTACATTTGTTTTCTCTTTCTCTCTCTGCATACATTTGTCCGTGTGTGATGAACCATTTGAAATTAAGTTGTAGGCACCATGACATTCATTCCTAAATGCGTGGGCATGCAACTCCTAAAAATAAGGACATTCTCCTTCCTGTGTGTCCACAATAACATTGTCACACCTCAGAAAATTAATACTAACAATCACATTCCTGCCATTTTCAAATTTCCCCAGTTGTCCCCGACTAGTCTTCCATAGCTTTATTTTAAAATGAGGATCTTTCAGGTTTTACCCATTGCTCTCAGTTTTGTGTTTTTAGTCTCTTTCAATCTTTGATTTTTTTGAAGAGTCCGGGTCAGTTTCCTCACCTTGAAACAAGAGCCTAGAGAATAGATTCCCCGTATTCTGGATTTGTCTGATTATTGTCTTATGGTGTCATTTAACTTGTTTTGTCCTGAATTTCCTGTAAGTTAGAAGTCAGGTCTAGAGATTTGATGAAATTTCAGGGTAAGCATTTTTGACCAGAATATTCCAGAAGGTCATGGGGTCAGGCAGTTCCTCACAGGTTACTGTTAACAAAGCCTCGTTGGGTGTGTAGAGGAACTCAGCCTGGGCGCACACCTCTCATGAGCTCCTCGGCCTGTGTCCTGGCAGCATCCCTTCCTCGAAAGCTTGTGGGCCGTTCACCAACTACAACACCACATGGGAGGTGGTTCCCAAGACGGTGAGCACCTTCCCCAGCTCGCTGCAGTCCCTGGTCCACGGCATCACGTCGGAAGCCTTTGCAGTGCCTTTTTTCATGATCATCTGGTGAGTAAGAACCACCTGGACCCCTGTGAGCATCTCCCCTTGAAGCACGTGGGCTTCTCTCTACTGGCAAATGGGAGCTCACCTGCTACACTTTCGATGTTATGAACCTTTCTGAGCCTCACTTTCCCGTCTCTAAAATGGGCATAATAATAGTAATTCTTTCAGAGGATCCTTGAGCACGTTCAGTAAGATCCCACATATAAGGCTCTTAGTCCAATGCCTGACTTATAAAAACCCAATAAGCATTGCCTATTATTACTGATGAGTCACAAAATCACTTGCTTTTTTAAAAAAGAAACTGATTATTGAGCAAAGAAGTTTATGCTCTCATAAACTTGAATCTTGGCTCTACCACTTATAAGCTGTGTGGCCTTGAGTCATATATATATAAATGGAGGCTCTAAAAGGATATATATGNATTATTACTGATGAGTCACAAAATCACTTGCTTTTTTAAAAAAGAAACTCATTATTGAGCAAAGAAGTTTATGCTCTCATAAACTTGAATCTTGGCTCTACCACTTATAAGCTGTGTGGCCTTGAGTCATATATATATATAAACGGAGGCTCTAAAAGGATATACATATATATCCTTTTAGAGCCTCCGTTTCCTCACCTGGAAAATTGGGATAAGAATGGCACATACCAGATAAGGTTTCGAGAAGAAGAAATGTGGTAACGCATGTAAAGTGCTTAGTAGAGGAGCTGGCCACTAAAGGCTCAGGAAATGACGTGATACATGCAGGGGTGACAGGGTCTCTGCCACACGGTGGTTCACATTGTGTGTGAGGGTAATTCTAACACGAATGTGTACTGAAGCCTAACTCTGTGCTAGGCATTGTTCTAATCACAGTGGGTCCTCATTATTCATGGATTCCAGGGTTTTTTCCCTGTACTGTCAGTGTGCCCACTCACTAACAGATGTTTGAAATCTCAAAATCTGTACTTGCAGCAGCTTTCACGGTCGTTTGTGGACACGCCTGAGTAGGGAAAAATTTGAGTCTTGCCATGCAGCCTGGGCTTGTGCAGGCTGCTGTAACAGAATGGCACGGGCTGGGTGGCTTGGAAACAACAGGGGCTTCTCCCAGTTCTGGAGCCTGGAAGTCCAAGGTCAAGGTGCCAAATAGTTGCATGAAGACCCTTTTCCAGCTTTCAGACTTCTCACTGTGTCCTTACAGGACAGAAGGGGCCTGGGAGCTCTCTAGAGTCCCTTTATCAGGATGCTAATCCAAACACGAGGGCTCCGCCTTCATGACATAATCCCCTTCCAGAGGCCCCACTGACTGACACTGACACGTTGGGCATTAGGATTCCAGCATGCAGATTTAGGGAGGGACCCAAATATTCAGACCAGAGCATGCACCCTCCCAGCTGAGGTCAAACCAGGCCTTAAGTTTACTGCCTTCTTGTTTTGGTTCTCATCCCATAAACAAATGTCCTTTTTGTAATCTATTTAGTGCCATGTTTCTTGCATTTTATGCTTTTGGTTGGTGATTTCACTGTGTGAAATGACCCCAGGCGTAGTGCTGAAGTACTGTGTAGTGTTCCTAAGTGCAAGAAGGCTGTGATGTGCTTTATAGGGAGAATACGTGTATTGGATAAGCTTCATTCAGTCGTGAGTTACAGTGCTGTTGGCTGTAAGTTCAATGTTAATGAATGTTGAATGTTTTTAAACAGAAACAGGGTTATGTATTGATAACCTTTCTCAATAAACGGGAAACATAAGACAAAGTACTGATCAGTTGACAAAACTGTTGTGACTGCTCATAGGAACCTAAGCCTGTATTTCCCCTAAGGGCATTGGTTCAAAATTCACCAATTCAGTATTCCTGGAGACTTTATAGAATATAACTGCCACAAATAACAGGAATTGATTGTCCCTTACATGTATTAACTCACGAAATCATCACAGTTACCCTATTATGTAGACATTGTTACGGTAAAATCCCACCATAATGCAAGAAGTGGGCCAAAAAATTCATTTGTTAAAGGCAGGATCCCTTTGATGAGATTAAGAAAATGACCTGGGCGAGCTGCTCAGCCAACCAGCCTGGATCCGAGGATCGTGGGATTCAGCTACTCCATCCTAATTTGTTCACCCCAGCTGTGGCACCCTCTGGAGGTGGTTGCCTGATCTGGCTTCAGCATCTTTTGAGGACCATTTTTGCCCTTGACTGTGGGGACTTCTAGAAGAATATTGTTGTTATCAGGGATTCCAGTGGCCCTCATTTCCTCTGCCCTATCTGGGGAGATTGGACAGGAAACCACCTTCCCTTCATGGAATGAGCTTGCTTGCTGTTTCCCTCCACTCCACTTGCCCCACTCCTCAAAGACAATAACTTCCACCACCACCACCCCATTTGAGATTTAGGGCTGCACAGAAAACAGGAGCCAATTGCCAGTTGCTTTTATTCAAAATTGTATTATCTTAGGCTTGATATCACTGGGTTTTACTGTATTATCCCCATTTTACAGATGAGAAACTGAGGCCAGAGAGATTCCACAGTGAACATTCACCCCTCTGACTCTTTCTGATGCCCTCTGTTTGGAAGAGGTGTGGGTTTTCTTTTCTTGTTCTAATGAGTAAAATTGTTCCAGATGAAACCTGTAGGGTTGTTTTTCTAGTGGCCTTCAAATGATACCAACTCCCTAGTGACCACTTTACCTTGTATTGCAGCCTCATTATGTTTTATTTCATTGCCCTGGCCGGAGCACACAAGCGGGTGGTCGTCCAGCTCCGGGAGCAGCTGTCCCTGGTAAGGAAGCATGCAGGTCCAGAGGGTCGTGGCTGGGGACATTTACCCAGGACATCTAGCAGAAAATGACGCTTTTCCCAGGAATTTTACAGCCCCCCTCCCCACCACTCCCCCAAAACTCTGCCTTCAGGCCAAGCCTCTTCCAACTTCATTTGTTCCTTCAACATATATATAGGGTGTCCCCCAAAATGTATACACATACATTTTTTGATAGCTCAATTGATGTTTCTTTCTTTTTCGATTTAACCCATTGGAATTAATTATTCAAAGTGTGTATACATTTTTGATACTATGCTGAGATACAGTGCTGAAGAAGAGGGACAAGATTGCTAAGTAGTGAAAGAAAAAAGATTCTGATAGCAATAACCGCTGAGCAGATAATACAAACCAGGCAGAGTGGCACGTGGGCCATTTGCTGCCGTAGCTGGTGGCCAATGAAGGCCTCTTTGAGGAGGTGACTGACATTGTAGTTGAGACTTGAACCATGAGCGGGAGCTGATTGTGGGAGGTGTCGGGGTGAGAGTAACAGGCAGAGGCCACAGCCAGGGAATGAGCTGGGTGCTCCTGGGGGCTGGGAGGGAGGGTGGTGTGGCCGGGGAGGCAGAGTGATGTTTGAATTGCAGCCGGAATCTCAGCATAGCCTGACGGCTCTGGGCACAAGTTTGGGTGGAATCTGAGTGTGACAGGAGCCACCGGTGGGTGTGAAGCAGAAGCCTGATGTGCATTTGCAGAGGATCATTGGCCGCTCTGCGGACCAGGGGCTGTGGAGAGGGCAAGAGCGAGAGAGACAGACCAGTCTGGGGCCATTACAGTCATCCGATGTTCAGGATCCTTAGCCTCGTGTCTGACAGGCAGTTTAGCAGGTCGAAATAATGGTATTTGTTTCCAAGTATATGGAACGTGCTCTTGAACCGATTTCTTCTTTTAGGAAAGTCGTGACAAGCGGTATCTGATCCAGAAACTAACAGAAGCCCAGAGGGATGTGAGGAACTGACTAGACTGCTGGTGAAGATGCTGCTCCCAGTTTATAAGCTGACCCAGGGACCTGCCAAGCCTGCAGAGCCCACCCGGGTTTTACGCGACATTGAAAAAAGTCTATTTTTCAGGAGTTCGGGGCTTTCCTGCAGGTGGCTTCCTGTGCATAGCTGCGGTGGGCATGTTTACGCGACCCAGATCCTACGTGGGGCTTTGGTGACTTAGGAAAGCAGGTTCAAGACCAAGTCTTTGCCTGTTGACCAACCACTCAGTGGCTACACCGATGAACTGACTTAAGAAGCTGTTTAAGCTTTTACACCAAAAATGGAGGAGAGACCTTATCTGTTTTTAAGAGCTTATTTGTTTTGCTTTTAAAGTTAACTGTGGAGGTCATCTGTTTGTGAGGCTGGGGTCATTCTTTTAAACCAGGTCCTAGGGGTTTACGCCGAGAAGTGTCCCTTAAGTAGTGACCCTTTTGAATGGTTCTGTAGACTTAAAATGAAACCTGATATATTTTAAACGAAGAGAAAGCGTTGAAGCATGATTTTTGGAACAGGTGGTGGGAACATGGAGGAGATGGCTATGTAATTTCAGCCAGTTGGTAGTAATATGAGAAAAGCTATTCCTGCTGTTTTAACAGTTTCTGAATGTCCTAGATTAAGCCTTAGGAGAGGGACTGGTGCTAGATGGCAGTGATTTCTTAGCTCAGCCTTATTACTCAGGGGACAGCTGCCTTTAAGGGCCTGGATAGCCACAAGCCTTCAGTTCCCTTCCCGTCCTGAGTTCGGAGACTTGGCAGAGGGCCCTGCACCATCAAAATTAAGAAGCAGACAAAGTTTGTTTCTCAGTCCTCCAAGTACCATTTCCCTTCCTGCACTGAAGTCTCTATTTCTGAAGGATGCTGTACATTTCAGAGCCAGGCTGGAAAAGGCTGTTGAGTGTTTACTTGAGTTGTGGGTTTATGTGCATAAGTGTTTGGAGATGTGTGTTGCAGCTCTACCTGTTAATCAGACCAGTCTATGCAGGCGTACCAAATGAGACTGAATATTATTTTCTTAAATACACATTTTCAAATTGTTCAGGACTATTGTTGGTTTTCTTGTGCTTAAAAATTTAAACACAAGTGCCTTTATGTTACAAAACATGCAGAGTACCTCTTAAGATTTCCATTACAGTAAACTGTATGCAATAAATACCTCATCATAAGCTTTCCAAAATAGATAGGTCTGAACTTTTTAACATAAGCCTAAGTTATTGTTTAATGTGATAAGGTTTCATTTTTATATCTTCAGATCACTTTCAATATACTTCAGTTTTGCAATGTACCGTTTGAGGCTGCCTTCCTTTCACTGACTTTAACCCTTTCCTGGGGGTAGCCTGGAATTTCACCCTGGCTGCAGGTTTCAGGAAGCTATTAAGAACATTTCCCGCCCTCTCCACCCCTCATTACAGCTTACACATGGCTGTATACTTGCCCCTTGCCCCAGGCCATTTACTTTCCTCCCACCAAGTTAGCATTAATGTGGGATATTTTTGTAACTGTGAGACCAATGAGCTTTTCAGGCTTTTTCTGTCTTGTTAAGGTTTATAACTTTCTAAGTTTAAAAACTAGTATCATGGAATTTGGAGTAAACAAAAGTTCATTCCACCTTCACTTTAAACAAATTTCCATTTGGGGCATTTCTGCCTAGTGTATTTATGTATATAATGATCTTGCTTCACCATACTTCTGAGGATAGTCAGTTTCTGTGTGTGTGTGTGTGTGTGTGTGTGTGTGTGTGTGTGTGTGAAAGAGAGAGAGAGAGGGAAAAGAGATGGAAGCTCTGTTTTCTTTCCCTATTATAAAACTGATACTGAAATATGCTAATATATTTAAGTGCTAATTTGCATATCTCTTGAATGTTTTTATATATGTATTTTGATAACTTAAATAACTTTAAGTGATGTCTGTATAATTGTTCTGGTGCAGCTCTCGCTAACAAATGTGCATGAAAACTACTGATTAAACAGTCTCGAAGGTTTTTCAGTGTGAATGTATATATTTGAATTTGCATAGGCTTCTTGTCAATAATCAAGCGAGCATGGAAAATTATAAGTTTGTAAGGTTGTTCTTTGCCTTTCCCTAGAATCAGAGAGAAAAAAGAAGTGTTTAATTGTAGGAAATCATCAGATGAATGTTTTGAAGACTCCCTGAAGCTGAGGGGTGTGTGTGTGTTTTAAACGTAAAAGACATAAAATTATTTTAAGCACTCCCCCAATACTGGACACTAAATGGGTCCGAGGCTGCCTGTCACTACTTGGGCCAAATGAAGTAGAGACAGGGTTAAATCTTTATGAGCGTTTATTCCAGTAATGCCAGCAGTATGGGGAGAGCAGCAGGTTATCCTGGGAATTCTGCCCTGATCCCCCTGGCTAGCTGGCTGATTAGATACGGGTGAGGGAGAAGGGGCTACGTGCAGCTGGAGCTGAGAGTGTAAAAGGGAAAGAGTAAGGGAGGGTCTGCGGTCTGGTCTTCAGGAGCTCAAAGTCCGATTACTGGGTGGCTAACCTATGATGTCACAAACAGCTCAGCCTGTTCCTAGGGTCAGAGAATGGTCAGTGTTCCTGAGGCAAGCGCCTGGAGGGTGTCAGGGTCCCGGCACAGCAACCAAGTCAAAGTGTGTCCTGTCCTTGGTCTGCTTTTAAAATGTATTTTCTTCTTGCAACACATCCTCCAGTTTCCCGAGGTCTATAAGAAAACCTCTTATCTATAGTTAGTAAGATGAATAATCACTAAACAACTGTGGTACAGTTCTGAGTATGTGCTCTTCCCCCTGTGACCCCATCCCACCCAGAGGTAACCACTACTAATGATGTTTATTTTATTCTCTTAGAAAATTATAATACATACTCAAGGAGATATATTTATGTGATTATATGAAAAGTGTATTTCTGAGCTTCTCCCTTTTTTCTCATTAATAACATCTTGAAGATCTTTCCAAATAAGTAGTGGCACATCCTTTTTAATGGCTACATAGCATTCCATTATATCAGTGTGTTACCGAACTCCAGGAATACACAGCTTGGGGTGTTATATTCAAGAACGAGATGTGACCCTGGCTGGACAGCTCAGTTGGTTAGAGAGTCCTCCTGATATGCCAAGGTTGCAGGTTTGATCCCCGGTCAGGGCACATACAAGAATCAACCAATGAATGCATAAATAAGTGGAACAACAAATTGATGTTTCTCCCCCAGCCCCACCCCACTCTGCCCTTCCTCTCTCCCAAAATCAACCAAATTTTTTTTTTAAGGTTTAAGAAAAACCCAAAAAATGAGATGTGGTTGTCAGATGTAGTTGTCTCAAGGTAGTTTTATTTACTTGCAGCAAGTAAAGGGCACAGGAGATTCACAGGACATAAGCTCTGTCTCCCAAAGGAACCTTAGCCATTCCTTATAGATACACTATTTGGTTAGTTATACATTGATTTCTTCTTTGCAGTTGGCTACATTTACCCATTGAGTTCCTGTCAAGCTCATCCTGTTTATAGCTGCATCTGCCAAACACTGGGCTATATTTTAACATTGAACAAGAATAGCATTTAGTAAGAACCACCCTAACCCTAACCTTGAGACCCTTGTACCATCTAACAAATGATTACTTCCAGAAGGATTCCCTCTCTGCTGGATACATAGTTTGTATTAGGCCCCAACCCCCACCCCTTAAAAACACTAGGAGCTGGAATTTTAAAAGTGCCCCCAGCATTTCTCTGTATCTTTGTTCTGCCCCATTCTGCAATGACAAAATAGTCTCATCCAGGAAAAGAGAAGAATCCAGTTAGGCAAGTCTTTGGTTTGAATTAATTAGTGAACTGGCAAACTAAATTCCTGCAGCTACATTATCTGAGTGCAGCTCACCATGTGTAAGTACTGGAGAAGAAAGGAATTAATTTTTCTAGGTTAGCACTGCAAGATCAGCTAGAACTTCTGAATGTCCCTTCTTTATATAGGATGTGGCTCTATTAGTAAATTTTCATCTGGTGTGTTTTTTCCCCAATGCATAGGATGTGCCTGGGACATGGAATGGCTTTGCCACAAATTAAGCATAATTGTGTAATTTTGTACAGATATCTTCACCTTTCTGGGATAAAGTTCCCTTATCTTTAAATAGAAAGATAAGACATACAATCACTTATTTTTGAGGATTGAATTAGGGAAAAATATGCTTTTTCTTGCCCTAGCTGATTTGGCTCAATGGTTAGAGCGTCAGCCCAAAGACTGAAGGGTCGTCTTGAGTTCGATTCCAGTCAAGGGCACCTACCTCAGTTGCAGGCTCCAGGCTCGATCCCCGCCACGGTCTCGGGGCCTATGCAGGAGGCAACCTATCAATGTGTCTCTCTCACATTCCTGTTTGTTTCTGTTTTTTTCTCTCTCTCTCACTCTCCCTCCTTCCCTTCCACTCTCTCTGAGAAGCAATGGAAAAAATAACCTTGGGTGAAGATTAAAAAAATAAAAATTTAAAATATGCCTTTTCTTTTTGAAATTTTGTTCTTCATTATAAAAATTACTGTTTATTATAGAAAATGGAGAGAACACCGAAAGCTGCAGAGAAAAAAAGGAAAAATGATGTATGAGCAATATTTATGGATAGCCACTGTTAAACTTGGCAAAATTCCTTTTAACATAGAAAGTACAAAAGGAGGGAGGGTGAGAAGAGAAAAAAATGTTGCTACTCATTTCTTTTTCACTTAACATACATAAGTGTTTTCTTCTGTTATCAGAAGTTCTTTATAAACATTGCAATGGGCTACATAATATTAACATCATATAAATGAATCTTTTAAAAACATTCCCTTGCTACTTAACATTTTGTTTCCATGTCTTCCTGATAATAACTGGGACATGCATAAATCTTTGTCAACATTTTTCCTTCTTAGAGACCTAGAAGTGGGATTACAGCAAAATTTGGAACATTTTAATGCTTTTGAGAGCCAGATTTACACTCCCAGGAGCTTGTACATTAGAATGTTACATCATCCTCTCTCTCACTAAATATTTGGGTTTAAAAGGCTATATTAGTTCATCATAACTTTAAATTATTGCAGTGTATTAAAGTAATTTGAAAACAATTGGCAACTTCAATTATTTTACAAGAGCAGTGCTCTTTAAATGTTTTATAATAACTTGGATAAAAGATTTTATATGTATACACACACATATGTGTGTATATACACACACACATATGTATAAACGTGTGTGTATGTAAAGTAGAAATCGAAAGCCCCTTTCTCATAATACCAACCCTCTGAAGTTCAATGTAAATGTGTTGTTATATATCCTTCCAGATAGACATCTTTGATTTTTTTTTTGCCCTTCCATACATACTTTATACATTCAAAAAATTATTTCCATTGGATAGATCCCTAGAAGTAGGATTGCTCTATCAATGGATATACATTTTTTTTTTTATATACATTTTTAAATTTGTCTTTATTGAGAGAATTTTAGGTTCTCCCGTTCTCCTTCCTACCTTCCCCCACTCCACCCCAGGCCTTCACCACACTATTTTCTGTGTCCACGGGCTATGCATATATGCATATAAGTTCTTTGGTTAATCTCTTTCCATCCTTCCTCCCCCTTCCCTCTGAGATCCATCAGTCTGTGCCATGCTTCCATGCCTCTGGACCTATCAGCGAAAGTACCCACCCGGTAGACAAGTGGATAAAAAAGCTGTGGTGCATTTACACCATGGAATACTATGCAGCTGTAAAAAAGAAGGATCTCATACCCTTTGAGACAGCATGGGACCTGGAGAGTATTATGCTAAGTGAAATAAGTCAGCTAGAAAAAGACAAGTACTAAATGATCTCACTTATATGTGGAATCTAATGAACAAAATAAACTGATGAACAAAATAGGTCCAGAGGCATGGATATGCATTTTTAAACATTTCCAACAAAATTTCCTCTAAAGACTTCATTTCTTAGAGCAGGTTTAGATTCAAAGCAAAATTGAGAGAAAGGTGCAAAGACTTCCCGTACACCCACCTACCCCGCACATGCACAGCCTCCCCCATCATCGCTCTGTGCTACCAGAGTGGCACATTCCTTCCAACTGATGAACCGACACTGATACATTGGATATGCACTTTTAAAAGTATGAAATATGTTGCTAAATCTCCTCTCCCCACCCCAATCCCCAAGAAACCAATTTGCACAGATAGAAGTGCAACCAACAGTGAAGTGGGAAACAAAAAATACGTGTTCTCTGCAGAAAATCTAAAATTTTAAGCACTTTGTCAGCCCCGTTATTTAGACGTAACACTACTGACCACGTGGCGAATTTAATTTCAGCATGTAATTTCCACTACTTTGAAGTGGACATGGGATAAAGATAGAGAAAAATATTTTTCCACGTTGGTAAATCACAAAGTACAATGGTTATGCCAATAAATGAATTCACTCATGGCCCTCTTTCCCAGGAATTTAGTTGAGAAATCTACCCCGTCGAAGATGGGAGCAGGATGGGGGCATGGGTGGAAAGGTGAAGGGGTTTAGAAGTACAAATTGGTAGTCACATGAGCGTCTGGGGGATGTAAAGTACAGCCTAGGGAATGCAGTCAATAATACTGTATAACACACGGTGTCAGACGGGTACTAGATCTATCAGTGATCACTTCATAAGTCATATAAATGTCTAATCACGGGATTGTACACCTGAAACTAATATAATATTGTACGTCAAGTGTAATTTAAAAATTAAAAGAGTAAGTAAATCTATAATTTAAAAAAATCTTTATCACCAAAGAGAAATTTAGCATTCTCACCTCCATGGCAACCCACGGCTCCTTCAGCTCTCTAAGTGATTGATAAGGACTGCATCCAATAGAATCTTTTCATTTGCGATTTCTAACCAATCGCATGGAAGCAGAGGCCTAGGGGCGTTCCCACCTAAGCAAAGACGGGCAGCGTCTTCTACACGTCCGTCGTGCGTCATCAGTTTGCGCCAAGGGCACGTTTGGGCGGCGTGGACCAAGGGAGGAGTTGCCTTGTTGTTGGGGCAATGAGCTGCGCCCGGGTCATGGCGTCCGGCTCCCTGTGGCGGCTGCGCGCGGGCGCCCCACGGAGGTCTCTCTCAGGTAAAGCAGGAGCGTGTCCGCGGCCCTACGCTGGGCGGCAAGCCGGGGAATTTTCGCCGGCAGTTTGGACCGGAGAGGTTACGGGGGAGACGTTTACATACGTCACAGGGCTGCGACGGAGCGCGGCTGACGGACGGGACGCGGTGGAGCCGGCGGCTGGGCGGGGCCGGCAGGGCGCCGGGAATGCGGGCGAGGCGGGGATGTTTTTTTGCCAGGACTGTGCGGCGGCCGCGTGGGGTTGACGCGTTGGGGGATTGCGCACCTGTGCGGTCACGTCACTGAAGGTGTGGTCGGAGTTCCCGGCTGAGGGCCGCTGGGGACTTGGAGAGTCCAGCTCCCCGTGGGTGTCATGGTTGCCTTCGCTCGCGGCCGCGTCAGGCCGCGTGTAGGCGGCGGCCAGCGTCTGCTGCCCCCCATCCCGCCCCAGAGCTCGTCGGAAATGCAGATTCTCAGGCCCCTCCACTGACCCGTTGGGTCGCCATACCCGTCTGTAGTATTTTAACAAGCCTCTGAATGAATTGTGTACATTAGAAAGTTTGAGAAACACCAGGGGAGCGGAAGGGGCCTCGAATTTGGAGAAGGGAGACTTGGGTTTGGGTCCCGGCTTCTCCTTTTCTCGGTTCATCTGAGCTGCTGCAGAAAATTGTTGTGGGGTCTTTTTGTCAAAGTTGAGTCGTTCGTGTGCCACCTTCAGGATTTTGCCTTATTAGCAATACCACTGGTGCTTTTGATTATTAAATATATTCTATAACCGCGTGGCATTTTTAAATTGAATAGGTTCAGGGAAACTAAGTCTCTATGGTAAACAGAAGACCAGTATTGCATGCCGCCAATAGAGTAATTATCAAGTAATCAATACACGGAGAACAAAAAGTTATTAAGTTGTATTAGATACTATTGCCTACCAAGGCTTGAGCCCAAGACCATCTTTTTTTTTTTTTTTTTTTTTTTCCTGGTAAAAAAGGGAGATTGGCAAGTGTCAGGAGGGTGTTCAAGATCTGTCAGCCATAAACAGACCAGTCTCCTTGATTAAATCAAAAGGATCAGAAGAGAATTTAAAAGAGAATAACTCTTACTACGTGGGTGTTATTTAATGTACGTTCATAAGCCATGTAAGATCTTCCCATATACCACTTAAAATCACCTGGGTAACTTTATTGGTATATGTTTCACACTTTGGAAAACAAAAAATATAAAACGATGCATTTGAGAGCTTCTAGGACTCCCCCTCAAGTTTGTTTATTTTTAAAGATTTTTTAAAATTGATTTTTAGAGAGAGGAATGGAAAGGGGGGGAGAGAGAAAAACATTGATGTAGAAGCGACACATCAGTTGGCTGCCTCCCCCACGCCCCCTGCTGGGGACCAAGTCTGCCTGGGGCATGTGCCCTGACCAGAATCAGAGGGGCAGCCTGTAACTGAGCCGCACGGGCAGGGCTTATTTATTTTTTATAGTGTGTGACAATACAGGCCAAACTCGGGGGATTGTTGAACATAAATTGTCATGCTGCTTTGTTGAGCCAATAGGCATAACAGATTAAGAATCTTTTTTCTTTTCATTTACAAAGTTACCTTGCTTCCTAAATCTCATTTTATCTTCACAAAAACTCAGAAAGGTTTTATTATTGTATGTTTTCCCCTAAAAGGGAAAGAACCTGATTATTACCAATTTTATATATAAGAAATGGCAATTCTGATTTCTCCAAGGTTAGCATTTGAGACAAGACATATTTTCTGACCCTGGCCCTGTGCCTTTTCTGTGGTCCCTTCATACTTACTAAAGACACCTCTCAGAGATGGTGAAAAGATAGAAATGGCAAATACTATGACAATCCTCCATATCCCCCCCCCCACCTCAAATCATTTATTAGGTACCTGAATCTGAAAAGGTGGTATAGTACTAGGAACAGTCTAGTATGTTTTTAATGTAAATGTAATCCTACCCATCGAAAGTCAGTTGTGTGTTTGAATTCATCCTCTGTACTCAGCCCTTTGCTATTTTTCAGTAAGTGTTTTGTTTTTTTAATGAGTACTGGGTTGTCTTTAAAGTTCTTTCCCGTTGACAGGTTTTGGGGTGGGAGTAACAAATGAAGGAACAAGCGAACAAGATTATTTCAAGAAATACAGTCAGCTCATCATTTTCTGTTTCAATTCCTGGGGCAGTTTTTTGCACCATCTTTCTGCAAGGAGATCAGATTGATGAAAACACCAGTCCTTGGACTAGGAGGCAAAAACTTGAAAGAGGCTACCTTGACTGTCAGATGTCTCAAATTGTTCTTCACATAAAAACATGGCCACAGATGACAGTGAGCCATTGTCTGAAGGCACAGAAGTGAGTAGTACATTATACTTGGCAGTCCAGGAACTGGAGTCCAGTTTCTTGAGTCAATATACTCAGTGAGATGGAGCAGGTTATGCAGAGGAGTAGACCAAAGCTGAGTCACCGTGCTTCAGATCTCCATGTACAAACTCTTTCAGACCTCCATGTCCACACTCTTGTGTTTAGAGTGAAGCGTTTTAAACTCCACCTGGCCAAAATGTTCAAATGCAGAAAGACATATCCCAAATCCCACCAGGCCTACCCCATCACGTTGTGTCCAAAGCACTCAAACTTTTTTAATGAAAAAACTACAGATGTACCAAAAATGAAAATTTCCATACATTTTCTGGGTGTTGAAGTTAGCCTAAATGAAAAGTATCCATTAAAGACATGGTTGTCATACGTAAGCCTTGGAACACATCTCAAGGTGATACCAATACAGGTTAAAGTTCACATTACAAACTAAATAGTCTCTCTGGGTCTCCATTTCCATATCTGCAAAATGGGGTGAAAATAGCTTACATACCTAAACTTGTTACAAAACCCTTAGAGAAAAAACTTTTAGGATGTCCTAATGCAAGGCTCAGAGAATATAATCCAGGTGTTACTTACTATTAGCAGATTTTTAAAGACAAATCTAATCTGTCCTGAAGAATTTACATTTTGAAGGCAAGAATAATTCAGTTGAATTGGTTATAGACCATAATGAGATGAAACCTAAGTTCTAAGGCTTATTTCTCAAAATCAGATGCTCATGGAAGCAGGTATTTTAAGAGATCTTAAATCTTTGGTTCTCAGCCTTGGCTACAGAGAAGATTTGTGCACAGAGCTTTTTAAAACTACCAGTGCCCTTCTCCCAGAAATGGATTGGGGAGGAGCATTCATGGTTTTGAAAGCTCCATGGAAGGTTCTGTGCAGCCAGGGTTGGGAACGAAGGGCCAGGAGGAATGGGTGAACTAGAGGAGAACCATGCCTTTCGAGAGCCAGCTGCCACATTAACTGCCTGGGGAGAAGACAGGCTAAGAATTGCCAGATCTTCATACACTTAAAGTGAAACCAGAAATTTAGATATTTAGTTAAGATCTTCTGTTTTAAGTGTAGGTAACTAATTCACTTAAAAACCCCCCACACAATACTGCAGGATAAACAATACCCTTAAGGGCATGTTAACCTGTGGGGAACTCATTTGTTACCTTTGTTCTAAGGTGCCCTTTTCTTCTGTCTGTAAAAGGAGACATCTCAATCTTACTTGAGAGTAATGAAGAATAAACACTTGCATTGCAGCTTGTGGAAGAAGGATCAGTGTCAGATTTTGCAGCTCAGGAATGACTTTAGACAACATCAATCGGGCAGCTGTGGATCGAATTATCCGGGTGGATCATGCCGGTGAATATGGAGCGAACCGCATCTATGCAGGGCAGATGGCCGTCCTGGGTCGCACAAGTGTCGGGCCTGTCATTCAGGTGGGTGCTGCTTCATCTCTCCTGGCCTGGCCTATTGGACAGGGCTTAGGGGGTGGGGACCCCAAGGCCTTCATGCGTTCTCAGGGGACATCGTTCCTCTCCAAACAAGTGAAAATTGGATATTGGGGAGGGAGGAGTGAAAAGCACATGATTCTTTCATGTATAGAGCACAGACGGGCATCTAGTACAGAAACACATATATGGTATATCTGTAGTAGTAAATTTTCATGGTGGGGTGGGTGATAATGAAAAAGGGGTTGAGAAACCATGTTAGATAAAAGTACTAGTTGCTGAGAGGTTGCGTTCCTGCCCCCAATGGAACCCAGTAGAGATATTTTTACTGAGAAGCAGAGAGAGAGACCTGGGTTTTTGGAGTCACATAGACCCAGCTTCACATTCCAACTCTCTCTCACCTGCTACCTATGTGACCTTGGGGAAGTCACATAACCTCTGGATCTTCATTTCCACATCTGAAAAATGGGCTGATAACACCTACCTCATTGTGTTTTCATGAGGAATAAATGGCTGGAATAGAGCAGCTGATACCATGCCTGGCATGTAACAGACACTCGGCACAAGTTAAGTTGCCTTTTCTAAGTCCTCAGACAAGTTACCTCACCTCTCTGTGCCTCACTTTCCTCATCTGTGTAATGGGGATAATAATAGTTTGTCCTTCACAAAGCAGTTGTAGAGCTTAAATGAGTTGTCTACATAAAACTATTGACAGCACCCTGCACTTAGGAAGTGCCATGTGTTAGCTGTTATCTTTCCTTTCTCCTTTGATGTACATGATACTTATATGCTAGCAATTTGGAAGGAAGTTACACGATAGCTAATATTTTGCCCTCCTGATTTTGAAATGAGCTGAACTTCTCATTTCTTGTGGGTATGGTTCCTCATCCTTTAATAGGCATCCTGTGGGTCTGAGGGGCTTCTGCTAGAACCATGGTTCAGGGATAGGGCATGGAGCTTCCTTGGGGTACAGCAGGTGGCCTGTATAGAATGCCTGCATGTCTGTATTATGTTTCTTACAGAAAATGTGGGATCAAGAAAAGGACCACTTGAAAAAGTTCAGTGAATTGATGGTTACATTCAGGGTCCGACCGACGGTTTTGATGCCCCTTTGGAACGTGGCGGGGTTTTTGCTAGGTACGTGTCTGTCCAGAAGAGCTTATGGGAGCTGAAGGGCCTGGGATGATCGTATCCTTTAAGTACCACTTCACAATTCTTACTGTGTCCTTCTACAGCCTTTTTTTTACTTAATATTATTCTAAAGTTAAATTGGCTGATTTTTATTTTGCTTAAATTTATTTATGATAGAATCTTAAAATCATTAGTTTTATAAATAAAAGGTACAGTAAAAATGATACAACAGAGAGGGAAACGAAACTACACTAATTCAGTTGTAGCCAGATAATGTTTTCTGACAAAAGTTCTACACCAGAGATCTGCTCACTCTTAAAAAGGGAGGCAAGTAAATAGTATAGAAGAATCAGAGACATACTCACCCCAAATGACAACTCTCTCCTTGCCATAATCAGGTTAGGGAGATCCTTGGAAAGAGAATAGTTCTCTTACTACGTTATTCAATGTTTAACACTGTGACCGGGTACCACCTAAAACAGTAGTTTTCAACAGGGTCAAGTTGCTCCTAAGGACACTTGGCAATATCTAAAGACATTTTTTGTGTCACATCTGGGGAGGCCAGGGATGCTGCTAAATATCCTACGATGCACAGGACAGACCCCACAACAAGGGATTATCCAGCCCCAAAGTTTATAGTGCCGAAGTTGACAAGCCCTGACCTGATATGCTCTCCCTTACCAGTGGTATCATTCCCATCCTTTTCTGCTCTGGATTTGACAATTCCAGGTGCAGGAACCGCCCTGCTTGGGAGGGAGGGAGCGATGGCCTGTACTGTGGCTGTGGAAGAGTCCATAGCACATCACTACAACAACCAGATCAGGACATTGATGGAGGAGGATCCTGAAAAATATGAGGAGCTTCTTCAGGTATTTGACTACACTCAGAAAGGGGCCGATAGGGGGGAAAGGTGCAGACAGGCAATTTAGTAAGGAAAAAACCCCAGAATGTTAGGGAATGATGGGACCTTAGAAATCAAGGTCAGTGCCTCATTTTAAAGGCAAGCTTACTAAGGCACAGAGAGCTGACGCTGTGTGCCGTGGTCACATGCTTGGGCAGAGGTCGGGAACCCATGTCTTCTGAGCCCGGCCTGTATTCTCTCCTTTCCGGATTATTGGTAGGTCCTGAGCAAATGCTGTTAGCATGAACCCTTCAGATTAAATAAATGAATTAAAAGATACCCCAGATAATAAAAATAAATAAAAATAAAGATCTAAAAAAAATAAAAAATACCCTCAGATAATTTTCCACAGCAGATAAGGGAACAGATATAGGTCTGGCTTTTTGTAAAGCCTAAATCAGGTTGGTAAACTATGGTTTGTGACCGACCACCTGTTTCTGTAAATAAAGTTTTGTTGGAACACAGCTATACCCATTTGTTCACATGTCCATGGCTGCTATCCCCTCTACAGTGGCAGAGTTGAGTAGATATGATAGGGACCATACAAAGCTTAAAGCATTGACTGTCTCTTTACAGGAAAAGTTTACCTACCCATCTTAGATAATAATATGAGGCTTTAGCTTCCAAAATGAGACAGAACACCAAGGGAGTTGGAATGCCGACTTGCTGCTACTTCTTTTTATTTAACCAGGTGATAAAGAAATTTAGAGATGAAGAGCTTGAGCACCATGACATAGGCCTTGAGCATGACGCAGAACTGGTGAGGACCCACCTTTACTGTCGCTTGTGGTGCTTTGGGCACCTTATTTGGAAGGCTGAGGGGCGGGAAGGTTTCTGTTTCCAGAAAAATAAATTTCAAAGTGACTGCCAAAGAAAGAAAACCAATGCACTGCTTTGACAAAGAGCAAGCTCCCAATTGGGAGCCTCAGTTCCTGCTTCCTCCACATCCTTTCCCCGAGCAGCTCCCCCCTTCCGGGTGAGACACCAGGGGACTCAGCACTCAGTGCTTTGGCAGTCACAGGGCATTCTAATCTTTTGAATAGATTTTTCTTTCCAAATTAAAATGAATTGTTTCCTAGATCTTATTTCTTATCCAAAGACATCTCAACCCTGCCAGACATGTATCTCACAATTAAAAGTGAACATAGCACATGCTTCTTTTGTTTGCTTATTGTTGTCTTTAACAGGCTCCAGCATACGCCGTTTTGAAGAAGGTTATCCAGGCTGGATGCAGTGTGGCGATATACTTATCAGAAAGAGTTTAAGGTATGTCCACTTTTCTCTCTGTCTATAAAAGATGATAGTAATTTAACAAGTGAGACTGGCAGAAAAGGAAATGTACAGTTATTGTTGCTGTGCAAGGGCTTCCTGCCCTGTGCTCAGAGAAGCCAATGCTATGACATCGTCTTTTGAGAAGAGAAAGGGCTTTAACTGGGAGGTCCACTGGCAATGAGACAGGAGGCAAAGCTCAAATCTGTCTCCCAGACTGAGGGTTTTGGAGCTACATTTAAAGGAAGAAGCAGGGGGAGTTGTGTATATTTATAGAGTTACATTGATTCAATAGAATGAGAGCCTTGCGCTCAGGTGCTTGGGAATCACCGTTTTTCATGCGTGGAATGTTTGAATTCGGGGGTTGGGGTTTGTATGTAGTCCACGGTGGATTTTGACCCAGTGACTTTCAAAGGTTATTCTAGGGTAAATTTTTTCTCTAGTGTGTTGTCCTACTGTTTGAGTATATGATCTGTAACCTTATTCTGCTGTCTCTGAAAAATAACTTGGTATCTCATTAAACAGAATAAGGCCAGTTTATGCTAGTTTTTAGTTTCCCTGGTTATATTATTGTTATGTGAATTTTGTTAAACTGCAAGAGTTGATTTTTTTTCTGTGTATGACATAAGGCTGACAGTTCACCAGGTGCATTCAAATTACAGAAAACAAAGCTGGTCATTGTTTGGTCCATAGCTAATTTTTTCCTAAAACATTGAGAATGAATCATTAAGAAAGTAATAGGAATCTAAAGAAAAATTTGGGTTTACTGGTAACAAAAGGAAATTGAAAACACAACAGTGTTTAAGTTTGATACAAAGCAAGACTGTCAAGTTCCTCAGGTAAGTGGAAGACTCATTGTTTCTATTTTGAATTGTGGATTGAGGGCAGGTTACTTCCATTAGAGAATATACTAAATTGTGGATTATTTGCGAATTTCCAATAATTTTCTTTAGGTCAGTTACCAAAAAAAATGGACCAAAACGGACTAAACTTTTCATACTGTGTTAAAATCTTTTATGATTTGCAAATTTTTAAATAATTTTTCTCTGCTGCACATTAGAATGTCCTGAGGAGCTTTTTAATTAAACTTTTCAGATGGTAAACCAAAAATTCTGAATTAGGGTGGGGCATGGGGTTAGAATGGTTTTCAAAGCTCCCAGGTGACTCTAGTCTGAGTCAGGACTGGGGATCCCTGGCCTAGACTCCAAGTTTCTTGTGGTGAGGAATTACGTCATTAAGGCTTTTGCCTTCCTGGGTTTAATCAGCACTGCATGTTGGGGCATGTTTTGCCTCCAAGGGGTCCACTTTTGAAGGACAGTGGACACTGGATAATTTGGGGTAATTTGGATTAGTCAATGTGATAAGTAAATCAGCCTTCTGATGATAATTGTAGTAAATTAAACATGGGGGAGAAAGGTCAAATGCAGTTTCAGATTCCCAACTCCTTAGTGCTAGGTTACGAACAGACATCTGCAGTGTGGCTTAGTGTAGTTGGTTAACAATGGAAAAGCCAAGTTCTTACACAGTGACCGCCTCATGTCTACATTATTTTATAAAGGTGAATTTTACACCTTTACGATATAAGACCACGAGTTTCTTGACGGCGAACAGTCTTTTCCAGTCCCTGCGTGATAGGCTGTAGGTGTCCTAAAGGAAGGAAGACAAGAAATGGAGGGGGAAGGATCAAGATGCTCTTAAGCAGCTGCAGAACTGCTGCGAAGGCGGCCTCCTAGGCTGTTCCCCCTGTCCTCTGGGTCTCTCGATGCCGGGGCTCTCAGGCTAAGGTCCTTGGCCCTGTCATCATCATCTTCTTGGTATCTCATCCCACCTTGTGGCTGATTCTTTCACATGTGTATCTCCACCCCAGATTTCCCATTTTCAAATAGCCCACTTTCTACCTGGCCCCTCCACTTGAAGGTTGAAGAGAATCTTAGGCTCCATCTGCCCCAAGCTGGACTCACCTCCCCTTCCCCCCCAATACTGCTTCCCCAGTGGCCTTCCCTGTCATCGTTAATGGCAACTCCATCTTTCTGGTTCTAGGCCAAAACCCCTGGAGTCACCTTTGACACTTGCCTCTATTATATTCCCGTCTAGTTGACCAGGCCGTCCTGTGGGTTCTACCAAATCCTTTTCATTGCCTTCAGTGCTTCCACTCAGGGCCCACCCACCCTCATCTTTCACCTGGATTATTTTAGAAGCCTCCTAATTATTCTTCCTGCCTTACCCTTGTCCTCCCACAGTTTGTTCTCAACACAGCAGGCAAGTGATCCTTTGAACGATAAGCCAGATCATGTTACTACTCAGCTCAGAACTCCCCTTGGCTTTTCCCAGTTCCCTCAGACTAAAAGCCAAAGTCCCTAAAATGGTTTATAGGACCCTATGCAATCTGTCCCTCTGTGACCTCTTTCTCCTTAACTCTGCTCCAGCCACACAGGTCTTGCTGCTTCTCAGAAATGCCAGGCACACTCTTGCTGTGTGTTCTTTGCAATGGCTGTCCCTCTGCCCAGAGTGCTCTTTCCCAGATATCCACATGGTTCAGATCTCTCACCAACTCCTAAAGTTTTGCTTAAATGTTACCTTTTAAAAGGAGGCCCACCCTGACCACCTTTTTCAAAATTGCACACTTTACCCCACTGCATGCCCCCCTCCCCGCTTGTTCTGCACTCTTTGCCCACCATAACACTTACCACCGTCTGGCATATTATATAATGTACTTACTAGTTATGTTTTTTCTTGCAAGAATGTAACCTCTGTAGGGCAGGAATCCTTGCTTTAATCACTGACACATAATAGGTTTTCAAGAAATAGTTATTGATGGGAATGAATGAAGAAATTGCACTCTCTTATTAGAAGTCATTTTCACGTAACATAATTCAAGACTACTCCTGTGTGCCTCAGCAAAATTCAGTGGAGATTTATTGAAAGGATGCTACCCATCTGGGGTGAGCCCCTGTGCCCCTGGTCTGTACAGATTGTTTTGCTATAAAATTAAAAATCTTACAGTGGGGGTGGGGTAAGGGGGGTGGAGGAGGTAGGAATGAGGGGAAAGATGCTACCAGGAAACCAAAGGAAGGCCATTCTCTATGCTTCTTGTTGATTAAAAAAAAAAAAAAATACAGGATAGGTAACCACATGCAAAAGAATGAATTTAGACCCCTACTTCACAGCATATACAAAAATTAACTCAAAGTGAACCAAAAATCTAAATGTTAATGCTAAAACTCTAAAGCTCTTAGAAGAAAACATATGGGTAAATCTGTGTGATTTAGGATTACACAGCAGTTTTTTGTTTTTTTATTTTTATTTTTTAAAAATATATCTTTATTGATTTCAGAGAGAGGAAAGAAGAGGGAGAGAGAGGGAGATAGAAACATCAATGATGAGAGAGTCACTGATCAGCTGCCTCCTGCACGCTCCCAACTGGGGATCAAGCTCACAACCCGGGCATGTGCCCTGACCGGGAATTGAATCCCGGTCACTTGGATCCTAGGTCGATGCTCAACTGCTGAGCCACGCCCAGCCGGGTGGGATTACACAGCAGTTTTTAAAATGTGACACCAAAAGCACATGTGACAAAATAAAAAAATAGATAAATTGAACTTAGTCAAAATAAAAACCTTTGTGCTTTGACGACCACTATCAAGAAAGTGAAAAGAAAGCCCACAGAACGGGAGAAAATATTTTCAAGTCAAAAATCTTATAAGACGTTTGTATCTAGATTCTAGAATATGTAAAGAATTCTTACAATTCAACAATGAGACAAATAGCAAAATTAAAAACAGGCAAAGGATTCGAATAGACATGTCTCCAGAGATGTACAAATGACCAATAAACATTTGAAAAGATGCTCAACATCATTAGTCATTAGAGAAAACCACAATGAGCTACCACTTCACACTACTAGGATGGCTATAATCAAAAAGACAATACATCAAAAAGAAATTAGGTGTTGGTGAGGATGTGAGAAGTTGAAATCCTCATAAACTGCTGGTGGGAATGTAAAATGTTGCAGCCCCTTTGGAAAATAACCCGGCAGTTCCTTAGAGAGTTAAACATAGAATTAACCATGTGATACAGTAACTCCTCTCCTAGGTATAATCCCAAAAGGAATGAAAACATGTTCAAACAAATACTTGTACGTGAATATTCATACCAACATTACTCATAATAGCCCAAAAGTGGAAACAACCCAAACGTCTGTCAGCTGATGAATAGATAACTAAAAGTGATGTAGCTATACAATGGAATAGTATTCAGCCATAGAAAGGAGTGAAGTGCTGATACATAACATGGGTGAGTCTTAAAAAGATGATGCTTGGGTACAAAGTTTCAGCATGGAAAGGTGAAAATAGTTCTGGATATGGATGGTGATGATGGTTGCACAACAGTGTCCTTAATGCCATTGAACTCTACACATTATAAAGGTTAAAATGGCCCGGCCGGGCGTGGCTCAGCGGTTGAGCGTAGACCTAGGATCCAGGCAATCAGGGTTCGATTCCCGGTCAGGGCACATGCCCTAGTTGAGGGCTCGATCAATGACTCATCATTGATGTTTCTGTCTCCGTCTCTCCCTCTTCCTTTCCTCTCTCTGAAATCAATAAAGATATATTTAAAAAAAAAAAAAAGTTAAAATGAAATTTTATATTATGGATATTTTACCACAAATAATAATTTCTAGACACAAATTGTCACATATTGTATGATTCCATTTGTATGAAATGTCCAGAATAGGTAAACCCATAGAACAGAAACTAGACATGGTTGGCTAAGGGACTGGGGAGTAACTGCTAATGTATATGGAGTTTCTTTTTTGGGGTGATGAATTAGATGGTGGTGATAGTTACACAACTGTGTGAATACACTAAAAACCACTGAATTGTACACTTTAAAGTAGTGAATTTTATGGCATGTGAATTGTAATAAAACTATACAGGATTTATAGTTTTCTGTGGTATCTGAAAGCAAATTTCAATTGAGGCTGTTGAGTGGGGAAGCACTTTCTTTAATGTACGTACCGTCCTTCAAGACAGCAGAGCATATAGAAGCCTTGATCTTTGAGATGCTGGTGGTATTTGTTGCCCTTCCATATCAAAGCTAATTTTGTAAGTATTGCAGTCAGGAATCTTAGGCATATGACGGCACTTTGTACAATCCTTATTAAAAGCCCAGACTTGTTGCTGTTTGTTTAGCATCCCCTTCAGAATTGATGCCTAATGTTTTATGCTTCTGAGAGCTTCTAAAACACAAACAGAGAGATTTTATGGATTCCCATTTGATTGTTTTTTATTGCATTACAGCTTGTCCTCGTGTAATCTTGTCTTTCCCTTACTTTATTGCTCTGACCTTTCAGAGGAAATGTGATTTTAAAATTGGACACCATCCAAAGATGATGCCAGCATGACAAAGGATGTTGTTCTTGCAAGTAGTATAGTTCCAAAGATGTGATCTGAGCTATTGTTCTCTGCATGTGTGATTTCCTCTCTACTCAGCAGTGGTATCAACTGTGAGCATGTTGGAAATGCAGAACTTTGGGCTCCTCCCCAGGCCTACTAAATCAGAATATGCATTTTAACAAGATGCGGTGGTTTTAAAGTATGTCCACCAATTCCTTGATACTCCTCTGCTCAAGACAAGTGGAACCTAATTCTTTCTTGAGTATGGGCTGTCCTTAGTGACTTATTTTTTAACAAACAGAATATAGTGGGAATAATGGAGTATGACTTCAAGGCTGGTAGGTCATAAAAGACATTGCAGCTTCCACCTTTCTCTCCAGGATTACTCACTCTCGGGGAAGCCAGCTGCCATGAGATGAGAACACTCAGGCGGTTACTCTGTGGAGAGGGTCACATGGCCAAGAACTGAGGCTCCCTGCCTACAGCATCTTGGAAGTGACATCTTGTGTGACATCTTGGAAGTGAATCCATCAGCCCCAGTCAAGCCTTCAGATGACTGCAGCCAACATCTTGACTGCAGCCTCATGAGAGATCCAGAGCCAGAATCACCTACCACTCAGCTAAGCCAGTCCTGAATTCCTGACTTTCAGCAACTGTGTTAGATAATAAATGTTTGTTTTCAGCTGCAGAGTTCTGGGCTGCTTTGCTAAAAAAGCAATAGATAATAACCAGTGCCCAACACTTGCAGGTGATTTGGAAGCACAGTAAAGTTTGAGAAGCATTGAACTAGACCACGAACTAGAAGGCAGAGACCGTCTGAATCCTTTCCATATCTTCAGAGCCCAGCACAGTGTTTGACACTCAGTAAATTTTTCTTAGACTAAATACAAAGTTAAATTGCCCTGTTTTTAAAAAAAATTAAAACTTTTTTGTAATAAATGTGTGTATATGTATGTATACATGGTGAAATACTCCAGCAATGCTAAAGCATATTTACAGTGACAGATAAATCTCCCTGTAGACTGCTTGTTGATTAACAGGAAAACTGACTACTTGCTTTACTTTGTGATTAACTATTAGCAATCTGCCACATAAGACAATACAATTTTTCTTTCTTTTTTTTTCCCTTCCAAAAGTAATGCTTGCTTCAGAATCAAACAACATGAACTGCATATTAGTAAAAAAGAAAAGAAAGCACCCTTCCAAACTTATTCTTAGAAGTAACCACATTAATAATTCATTGTGTACCTTTCCAGACTTAAAAAACACACAACCTTTTATCCATACATGTACATATCTGGGTTTGTACTGTTCCCCAGATGGAGTGATACTGTGCATCTTGATCTGCAATTTGTCTTTTTCATTCGGTGACCTACTTGGCCATCTTTCCAAGTCAATACATATAGATCTCCCTCATTCTTTTAATTGGCTGCAATAATTTTCTTCCATTATACAGCTGAGCCACTGCAGCACCGTGCCAGTTCCTTACCTCCGTAGACTGCTTTACCCCCTGAACTCTCAGGACCACACTGTTGGACACACACTCTCCTCGTTCGCCCATTTAGAGTGTGCTAGGTGCTGGAGAGGCTTGAATTTAACCGTGAGGCCATCTGGCCCGTTCTTATTTCCTCTCTTCCCCTATCAGTGGACATTTAGGTTATTAGTACCAGACTTTGGGGACCTCTAATGCTTCAAGGGGACCACATTTGAACATAGTTTCTATGGAATTTCAGGAGGAGGGGCCCTTCCGGACTCTTAACCCTTTTGGAGATCCCAGACCTCCTTGAGAATATGATAAAAACTCTGGGTGGGCCCCATAGACTCCTAAAGATCCTCCTTAAGACCCCTGGATCCCAGTGATTTGTGGAGAAGAAAACCCAACCTTTCCCAACGGAGGGAAACAAAGAAACCTTTCCTCAAAAGGGCCTTTTTTTTTTTTTTGGCTCTGCCAGAGCACAAAGCACTTTTCTATTGAATACGTTATCAAGGTTTAAAAGGCCCCTCTTGCCTTCGGGACATGCTTCCTCCCACTCCTGCCTCCCTTAATGGCAGCCCTGCTGGGCTGTGACTGAACAGGATGGGTCCTTTGATCCTGGTTCTCAAAGAAAGATTTGCTGCTGGGCTCGCCAAGGGCAAGGAAGGTCTAGGGCTTCCCAGTGCCGGCCTGCGGACACCAGGGGGCGCCCTTGCCTGGAGTCCTGAGTCCAGCGGCCCTTACCAACTCTGTTAGTCATTCCCATAATGTCATAGGGACAATGCCTGCGGAGCGTGGACAGGCAATTGCTACATGTTGTGATAATCTGGCCCCAATAATCCCACCTCCTGATTTTTACCTTAGGTGAGAGTGGACTGTCACATTTGCACACTGTGAGATGCGGAAGACTCGCTCAGCTGGCTGCTCTACTCTGAGGGGGCCACTGGCTTGTGCATCCTTGTCAGGGAGGAGGCATTTTCTTTTTCAGAAAAGGAAGAGAGAGGAAAACACAGGGGAGACTGACTAGTCTCTGTCTAGGGAGTGCTGCATGAAACCAGCATTAAGCACCAAGTAGTGTCCAAGGGGCTGCACTGCGTGCATATTCATTAGTTGGCACTGCTCCCTAGACCCACCTTGCTCACCTACACCTTTCTAGGATCCCCATGCTCAGCCCCTCTCCTGATGAAGGCTTTTTGCCCTTTCAAACCCCCTATCTCTTGGGTGAACTCATCCCACACCCTGTCTCCTATTCCTGCATTTCCTAGCTTCCTGCATTGGCATTGCATTTTATCATTGCATGGTTGTTACCTGCTTTCCTACCATTTCTCCAACTTGGCAGTGAACTTCTCAAAGTCAAGGGCTGTCCCCAGTACCTGGAGCTTAGCAGGCCCTCAGCCAACAGTTGATAAATGAGTCTAAGCTAAAAACAAATCATGTGGGCTCATAGAATGGAATAAAATAATTGAAACAAGTAGTGACAACAATCTGATCTCGGTGTGAGCACACCTAGAAACATCTGGATCAAAGTATGAAGTGGGGAAGGGTCAGACTTGTGGGTGTCCTTCAGTCCTCTTGTCCATCTGCACTTCAAACCCAGCATAAGCCTGACAAACATTTTACCCGCAACCATGTCTCAACTCTTCTCCCTAAAAATGCCTTTTCTTTATAGCTGCTGTGTTGTTTTTTGAGAACTACTCTTCATGATACTTTTTGTTGCCCTTTTAAAAATCTCAATTGTATTTCCAGTTATACAGAATTTCCTGATGATTAATTTTGGAATATATATATTTTAAATATATCTTTATTGATTTCAGAGAGAGGAAGGGAGAGGGAGAGAGAGAGATAGAAACATCAATGATGAGAGAGTCATTGATGGGCTGCCTCCTGCACACTCGCGACCGGGGATCGAGCAACCCGGGCATGTGCCCTGACTGGGAATCGAACCCCGATCGCCTGGATCCTTGGTTGACGCTCAACTGCTGAGCCACGCCCGGCCGGGCAATTTTGGAATTCTTAACTAGGCATGCACATCAGACTAAACTCTTGAGGTTAAAAAACAATTTCCTTATGCTCCTGCTCCCCCCACTCCTGCTGAAGCAGGCACTATAGGGCTGGTCTAAGGGACAGATGTAGTTTCAAAAACACACAAGGGCTTGATGTGCACCCTGGTTAAGAATCAGTGATTTAATTCCACAAGGGCTTTATTTTAAATCTGCCCCCAAATTGATGCTTTTCCCTGAGGGCTGATTCAGGATTTACATTCTGTCCCACTTTTCCTGCAGTTTTCTGCTAAGGTGTGACTTGTTCCGATTTTCTCCAGCCCATTTGATGCCGTGACAGCTGGAAACATGTTCCAGATCAAGTTGTCTTCATCATATGGAAACAATGGTGACAGCAATGCTCCCCGTTCTACTGTGTGTGGGGGGGAGGGGCAGCCTTTGTGTGGTATTATCCATGCCTAACTTCCAAGTGGCTTTATGGAAACAATAAAAAATTGCATGGAGATGCCACCTGTTGCACTCACTTGCTGATGCTCTGTGCATGTGATTAAATAAGACAACCTGGGCATTTTAAGATTAATTATCTCAGGTACTTATTTGGCCACTTTAAGGGACCATATTATTCTAAGTGCTGTACAATGAAAGAATTTTAGAATATGACTCCCTTATATCATTTAGAAGAGACACAAAATATCTCACCTTTGCTTCTAATCAGTATTAGCTCTGCTAAATGAGAAACCCAGAAGTCATTTTCTTCAGGTATGGTTTGATCCAGGAGCTCAAACCAAACACCTGGTTTCTCTTTCTCCTAACTCTGCTTTACACAGTGTTGAAGTTGGGCTCCTAGCGGTCCTCCTCATGTAAGGTAGCAGAATTGCTGCAGCACTTTAATCACCTCCTAATACTCCTCCATCCACAAAAAGGGTGAGGGTCTCTTCCTCTAGCTTCTGCAGAAGAGAGAGAAAAGTTTCCTTTCCCAGAATCCATAGCACATGCCCCCCTCCCCACCTCTAGTCTCATTTTTCTCCAATATGTCCCACTCCTTGCTCCCCCCACCCCATGACTGGCCTGGGGAATTGTGGTGCTCTCACTGGCCAGGCCTGGTCACATGGTTGCTCCTGAACCTGGTGGAGTGGGGACAACCCCACTTAAGCCACATGGCCCAGAGTGGGGTAGGGATGGTTTCCACAAAGGAAGCCAGAGTCCCCTCACCAGGTGAAGGGAGAACAGATGTTGGGCAGGTAAAAAGGCCTGATGTCCCCTGAGCCCAGGAGGTCCTGGTGGACGCAGAACTTGAGTGGTTATAAATGGGGCATTGGGTTCAGGATGGACTGGATCAGGGAGGATGAGACTGCGGGGATATTGCTATAGTGCTCCACTTGATGATGGATGAGGACCTGAGTGAGGGCTCTGTGGTTACAGAGGCAGTGTAGCATAGTGGTCTGAAGCACCTGGGTGTGAATTCTTGCTCTACCGTTTACCAGGTGTTACCTAACCTCTCTGCCTTGATTTACCCACCTGTAAAATAGTTGCTCCTGGGTTATCATGAATCAAGCTGAAAACATGCTAAGTGGAAGAAGCCAGTCACAAAGGACCACATATTATATGATTCCATTTACGTGAAATGTCCAGAATAGGCAAATCTATGCATAGAGACAGAAAGTAGATTAGTGATTGCCTAGGGCTGGAGGGAATGGGAGTGTTGGAGGGTGATAGCTTTGGAGTTTAGGGTTTCTTTTCAGGATAATGTTCTAAAATGTTCTAAAATTGACTGTGGTGTTGGTTGCACAATGCTGTGAATATACCAAAAGTCATAGGAGTGTACACCTTAAATCAGTGAATTGTATGGTATGTGAGTTATATCTCAATAAAACATTTTTAAAAGATAATATGTGTCGTCCTGGCCGGTGTGACTCAGTTGGTTGAGTATCATCCCATGCACCGAGGTCTTGGTTCGATTCCCAGTCAAGGCACATGCCCAGCTCGGGTTGTGGGCTTGATTCCCAGTAGGGTGCATGCAGGAGGCAGCCAATCAATATTACTTGCTCCCTCTCCCTTCCTCTCTCTAAAGTCAATAAAGAAAACCACATTTTTTAAGGAATATGAGTCAAGTGCTTTGAACAGTGCCTAGCACATTCCCTCTGTCTGCCTCATCACACCCGGAGGTCACAGTAGCTTCCAGCTGTCAAAGGACCTTGGAAGCTTCACCGTCCCTCAAGCTTAAGTCCCCTTCATCCACCCTTCACCTTTCTGAGCAGTCTCATCATTAAACTCCCTTCAGTTACCCCCATTTGAATGCCTCTCATTCCTGCCAGGACCCTGACTGCATGGAAAGCACCTCCAGAGGAAGAGCAGGGCTTGTTGGCTAATCAGTCAGGTGGACACACAAAAGTGACTAGTGATGGTTAATTTTATGAATCCACTTGACTGGATTACGGGTGCCCAAACATTTGTTCAGACATTAATCTGGGTGTTTCTGTGAGGGTGTTTTTGGTTGAGATTAATATTTGAATTGGGTAGACTGAGTAAAGCAGATTGCCCTCCCTAATGTGGGTGGGCCTCAGCCAATCAGTTGAAGGCTTGAATAGGACAAAAAGGCTGACCCTCCTGAAAGGAAAGGGAATTCCTCCGGCCTGACTGCTGAGCTGGGACATTGGTCTTTTTCTACCTTCAGACTTGAACTGAAACATTGGCTCTTGG